AAGAGTTCCAACTTTAGAGAGATGTTCTAGAGACAGTGTATACAGGGGTGCTTTTTTAAACAGCCCAGAGCCGCCAGTCGACCTCCACTCAGTGCCCTGTCACTCAGCTCTTCAATTACTGCTCATCAGACTTTGTCTTCAAGCACCCTACAATACTCCCCTGGTCCCCAAAGAGGGCTATGTGCTGATGGCAGTCAGCCCCCGAACCCGCACGGGGACTGGACTGCTGTGCTCTCACAGAGACACACACATCTGAGAACGGCCAACAAGCAAACACCAGCCCAATAGCGACACACACAAACGTATAAATTGACCAAAAACATACCCTGCTTGTTCCCAAATGTCCACTGGTTCCCGATGTTACGGATATCATGGAGTCCCCACTCTTCAAATGAGAAATGCAATCTGCCATTTAATGAGGACACAGTGACAGAGCAGCTGCAAAACAGGTCTTACACTGGGAGGGATGCAAATTCAGGGACCAATTAAAGCCTCACCCTTGCCCCCATCCCAGTCCTCCAAATTTATACCCAGTTCAACTTCAGCGGGAGCATTAATCTTGGCACTTTGGCTAGAAATTGGCCAGGATAAGAGAGTATTATTCCCCCTTTAGACAATAAGCCACTCATTCAAAAATAAATACATAAACACGTGAACACCTACTGTGTGCACAGTACCAGCTCTAAGCAGTACACAAACACCAGGCAAACAGAAGTACCTACGGAAAGGCTGAGGCACCCATTTCTGGAATCAGGCCTCCCTGTGCCTTCACTTGGGCAGGCCCTAGGGTGCTCTGGAGGAAAGCAGACCACCAGACTCCTCCTCCCCCTCCCACCTCACCAGCAAACGAGTCCCCCATATCAAGTAAGAAAGGCAAAAAGGCCACAACTCAATTCAGTCGACATTTCTGCAGCTCCCCAACACACACACATACACACACACACACACACACACACACACACGGGAGGAGTGTCTTTAGAGGGTTATGTTTCCTTCCAGGATCTCTTCTTCCTCCAACACAGTCTGCTAACCCTGGTAGAGGAACAAGGAAGGCCGAACCTTCAACTCGACTCTCACTCATCCAACTGGAACCCATTCCCAATTCCACCTGTGGAATCCCACTGCTGCCTTCCCTCTTGCTTGGGCTCTCTCTTTCGTGGATTGTCCTGGTGTTGATTCCCCATCAGTCCAACTGACTGACATGACTCTATGTGTAGGATTCAACTTGAAGGCCAAAAAGGCCCAAAAGGACACCAAACAACCCCAAACCCACACACCAGGCATACTTGGCACTGACACCTTCAAAGCCGCTTCTCGGCACTGAGGATCTTTCTCTAAAAGCCTTCATGAAAATCCAAAAAAGATTTCCAAGGTCCTGGGTGCAGGGACCCAATTGCATAGCACCCTCAGAGGGACTCTGCTACTCAGGGAAACTGGCTGCAGCAGCACCCAGGCTCCCCCACACCTTCTGATGCAACTCAATCCTGAGAACGTCCACTGGGCCCCCCATCCCTCAGCTGCATGCCCTCCACACCCCTCCATCCCCATGGACTCTGCTCCTGACTTCTCGGAACTGGGCAGTTGCCTGTGTCCCCATACCACCAGCACTCCCCACAACCACGTTCTGCCCAGTTCCCAGCTCTGGACGGAGACTGGGATAACATGGGTGGCTTCTTAAAAATACGATCCCAGCTTTGATGCTAGAAGTACTGAATCAGAGTCCCCAGGAAATGTATCTTTGGCAAGTTTCTCTTGTGCTCTTCTTTGGCCAGAGGAGTTTTCCTAAAATGCATTTATGACTTTTATCATATGCTCATTTAAAATCTTTCAGCAAATCCCCATCCACTCCAGGACCCAACTGCATGACAGGGGCCCCCATGGCCTTAACCACCTAACTGCAGCCTGGTCTCAGATGCCTGTCCAGTCCCCTACATTCCAACCACATGACCAGTCCCTGGTGCCCAGATATAGCAGGCTGCCTGCTTCACCCCTTCAGCCACCTGGGTCCCTCTGCTCAGACGCTCCCCTCACCAGCCACTCTGCCTAATGAATACTTACTGGTCCTTTCAAGACCAATGCCACCAACCTCTCTCTGGGAAGCCTGAGCAGCTTCTTCCACTCGGGAGATGTCACTTCTGTGTCCCCATAGCACCTCAGACAAACTTCCAACACTACACATGCACACTTCCCCATGATTCCTCGTAAGATACGGTCTCCCAGCTCATCAGTATGTTCCTTGGCATTCCTATAACATCTCTCAACACAAGTTGCTGGAACTTCAAAAAATGTTACGTGTTTTCCTTTGCAGGTACCCCTAGAGTTTCAGGGACTACACCCTGCATCTGGAGAGCCCTTAAGGCAAAGCAGTGAAATATACATAAAGACTACCTAGGGTTTTGGAATACCAAAGAGTTTGAATTTTGAGTCTCCACTTATTAGCTATGTCTCAGTGGTTCCCCCGCTTCGGTGCAAATGAGAATTAGTATTAGCAACTTGTTATAAAGACTATGAGATGATCTATGTAAAGTACAGGTGTTGCAATTATTGGCAGTAATTAAGTACATTATCATTATCTGTATGCTTATAGATTAGTGGGTATGAGTGCACACACATCTTAGAACTGTGCCTGACACATTATAGGTCCTCAAAATAATTGCCAAATGTGTGCAGCTATAATTACTAATGACTGCTTATGTATCTGCCTTTCCTGCTACACTACAAGTTTTCAGAGGCAAGGACTCGGGCCCATTCATTTCTGTACCTCATCCCCACCTCAGCTCCATAAATAATTGTCTGATTTAGTTTAACATAAAATATTAATGCAATGTTTATGACTATGAAGATATTCATCCTTGTCTAAGGAATCACCAAGACAGCCTCAGGCACACTCTAGACCAAACCCACAGAAGAAAATTAAAACGTCACTGGCTTGAAAACCTTCCTCTAATCTCCAAAAACCCTGACTAGCTGGCCTCTAGGCTCAACGTCAACTCTGCGGGCCCCTCCTTCAAGGTCGGGCCTGTCACCTAATGAGCCACAATCCCGAGGTCTTAAGTGATGACACACGCCCCCTCCTCCCTGGTTTGTGGTATCCCTGCTCCGACCCCCCCAGCCACAGCCCGGACCCCCAGCCAGAGCTGCTCCACCTGAGCCACGGGCTCCAGCCTCCTCAGCTCACAGCCAGTCCTCCCCCGAGGGCCTGGGGGCTGCAGTAGGCCCGCCGAAGTGTCAGGTTACCACAAAACAACAGTAGGCCTACACAGTCAGTGTCGAGGCCAAGTGCAGAAAGAGAAGCCCAGGAGAAAAAAACCAGACATTTGAGTTTGAGTCGAAGAACTGGGTTTTAAGAAATATCCTTTAAATTCACAACTACGCTCTTAACATCACCCCCATAGCCCCTACAGTAGCTCATTCATTTAGTGTCCCATCCAGAGTAGCTCATATTTATGTTATACTTACCTGCTTTGAGCGTGCTTTTAAAAATATTATTTTAGAGTCAGAGTGGGGATGGGTTTTTTGGGGGTTTTTTTTTTTGGTTTTTTTGTAGTTTGCTTATTTTATAAAAGTCAGATTTGGGTCAATGAAGGTTTTAACAAGTATTCCCATTCAACAAATCCCTGATATTACTCAGCTTTAATTTTCTCAAAACTAAATCCAAACATGACAGAGCTAATTAGCTCTGCTGAAGGAGGGGCAGACCTTCAAGAAAGAAAAGGCTAATAAAAAGCACTCACACATTTTTTTTCCCCCTAAAATGAAATCAAAGGTCACTCCCATGCTACCCTCGTGCGGGAACAGTGCCGGCTTGATGTGGGCTGACCCAGCCTGCATACTTCAAACAAAGTTAACTTCAATCACTGCAGCGAGTTAACAGGTTATTGATTCTCCATCCACTGTTCTTTCATCTGGGTTTACTCTGTAGACCATGCCTCTTTAATGTGCTCCTAGCAACTGTTTTATAAGAGGGTGGGTATAGACCCAGCTACAAGAAATGCCCTTCTCCAGCTGAGCAGGTAAACCCCGAGGCCCGGCCATGTCGGGCTGGATTCGTGTTTCCCATTGTAACCCCTCCACTGTCAATGCCCGGGCACAGTAGATTCCCTGAAGGTGCTGAAAAGGAAGCAGAAAAAAAGAAAGAAAGAAAGAAAGAGAAAGAGAGAGAGAGAGAGAGAGAAAGAAAGAAAGAAAGAAAGAAAAGAGAGAAAGAAAGAAAGAGAGAGAGAGAGAAAGAAAGAAAGAAAGAAAGAAAGAAAGAAAGAAAGAAAGAAAGAAAGAAAGAAAAAGAAAGAAAGATAGATTCCAAATGGGGGAGAGCAGGGGACGGGATGGATTCTCTACAATATTCTTCAAAAAAAAAAAAGGTTCATTTTCATGAGGAAAAGGTTCTCCAACATCCCCTTATTTTGTAGTTACTGACTGATGTTTCATGTTAAAACATCAGGGTTATGAGTATTCTAAGGCAAGCAGTGCTCGGAGCAGGACTCTATTGCAAACGCTTAAAGGGGTAGGTTGGCGGGGGGAGGCTGGGTAACGACGACAGATGACTTTAAAATGATCATCTTAAGTGGCAACCAGACCAGCTGGTAAACACGCAGACAGGCAGATTCTGTGTTTCATTTCTTTTAACTTTTAAGAAATAACCCTCTCCCAATCCCATCAATAAAAACTTCAGAGAAGGAACCTATTACCAGCTGACTCTGAGTTCTGCAACTGGAGAAGAATACCACATAAACAGTGAAATTACCAGCAGTTTCATTCTGTCTTTAAAAACAGTCTAATTCCCGGAAGAGAGGATCTCATCTGCTTGCTCCTCCTTGGGCTGTCAGAATTCACACAGTTCATGCAGGACACATCACACCGTGCAATTACCAACCGGCATTTGCCACTGCTAAAAGATCTTTAATAATCCTGATTTTTTTTTTTTTTTTTTTTTTTAAACCATAAAAGCTCTCCTTATGAGCCCAGCTCTCTTTGCTTGTTCGGCGTGCCTGGTCACTTACAGGAGGAGAAAAAGCCAGAGGCGCGGCTCATCGTTCTCCAGCTGTGTCTCCCAGGGAGCTGTTCGTGTGTCCGCAGGGCAATGCCACGCCGCTGCGCTGGCCGGCAAGGTTTAAAATTAGCCGAGCCCCGGAGAGCCCTGGGTAACCTTTGGACAAGGTTAGCCAGCAGAGCAGTGCAGGCTCAGGGAGGGACATTAATGAGAAGCCAAGGAGAGCTCTTCCACAAGCCCATTAGGGCCCCTCTGGGCCCTCACCATCTAGAAACCTGGAGGGGCCGGGTACACCTCCTGGGCCTGAGGAGGCTGACCTCGGCTCTTATTTTTAACCCACCAAGTCAGCAGCTTCCTTCACAGGCGATCGGCGCGAGCTCTACGTGTGTTTCTCCAAGTTTGAAGTCAACATGCTCCACCTCTGGTTATACGTTAATTTTTAAAAACTTTAAACTGGATTTTATGAACATCATATCCATGGAACACTTCTAAATGTAAAGTTCATACCCACACATGACCAAAAAAGTGGAACCTACAGAAACATACACAGGAGGAAATGAACTGTGCTCATAGTCAGTGCTGACAACGCATTCTGATGTACTTTCTTACACTAATAACATTGTTCTTATTAATACTATTTTTTTATTATTATGACTCCCTATAGTTTTTGGGTTCTGTTATTACCCATCCAACATTTCACATTCAGCATTATCCTGAGTCCAGAAATATTCTTTGCATTTGTGATTTTTAAGAGGTATGGTATTCCACATTGTGGATATACTGCTATTTGACTACTTCCCCATGGGCACACATTTATATTTTGCGCAACTGTTCACTGTTAACGGCAAACATCCTTGTAATCATTTCCTACAAACAGATTCCTGGAAACCACAAGAGCAGGAAAAAATTGAAGCCACTGGTGCAGACTGGGGACCCCTGAAGACAGGGATGGCCTGTCACACTGTAGTGTTTTCTGAAGAAAGGAATGTGTCTGGGCACTTTCCAACTAACCCTAAATTCTAATGTGACGCTTTCCAATCACCTACCAGGAGATCAAGAGGCCAGCACTACAGAAGTCCCCTCAGCAGTGAGACAGAGGAAGCCACAAGCAAAGGGTGCATCTAACACCTCTGAACACCTGTCAAAGGCGATTCGGATGCTACTGGCACTGTCCACACTGCCCCCACGAGTACCTCCCTGGTACGTACGGCCACACCGGTTGTTGAAAATACTGAAATACGTTCATCCGAGTTGGTGAAGAGTCAGTGGCACAAGCCCACTGAATGCCCCTGTCCCCTTGGCTCCCAGCCCTCCCCCAGAGCCCCAGGCCTCCTACCCATCCAAGTAAAGCTCAGTGCCTGGCACACCTGGAGGCCTCCAGGGGTTGCCTGTGTGTCCATGTCCCTATGGTTCATTAAATACCTAAAATATCACTCCTGTTCACAGACAACCTACAATTCAAGATTTGCTTTTTAGATTTGCTTCATCACTCCCTTCCAACCAGCTCCTCAGAGGCCACTGGTTAAAATCCTAATTATCATCACTTCAGCAGTCTTTTCTTAAATTCATTAAATTACCTAATATTTTATTTTTTTAAGCTGAAATGGACAATTAATGAGAAGCACTTACCAAGACGCCTAACAGGGAGGTGTTTCCACTAAGTTGTTCTCCACCAGGCACAGTGAGTTGGGTTAGATAAAGATGGACATCATAAGCATAAGATCCATACACCAAGTACTAACACCCGTGACATGAGCTCCCCAAGGGGCAAAGCTATCTGCTTAAATCACATGAGAGTTTAAGGAACTCTCACATCATCAACTGTAATTCTCAGGAAGCTAAAGCAAAAGTATCAAAATGCTAAAATCAAGAGGTAAATAGAAGAGTCAAGTACAAACTAACCTGTGCCCCAATCGCCCTGGTATTGGCTTACCTATGATACCAGTAAATGCAACATTCTAGAGCCGGGTATATTGCTATGCTGTTGGAAGCACGATCTCTACTATATCTCTCCTTGCTAACCTGAAAATTATTTTGTGTAAGGGAATAGATAACCAGTGAGTGGAACAGAATTTCATTTCCTCTGAATGTTTTTTTCTATCCTCTACTGCAGATGCCAGGGAAGGAACACCAGCCAGGAAAGGGAAGAAGAACAAACCAGAAGTCTGTAAATCAGACTTTGAAAACCAAAAAAGAGCTAGCGTGGATGTATTACAGTCCCGCCCAGCCCAGCCCAGCCCAGCCCAGCCGCTGGGATGGTGACCCAAGCTGGAATCAGCTCAAAGGCAAGGCCCATCCACATCTCCACTATGGAAGAATATACACCAAATTTCAGGTCACTATGGGAGCTATTTTTGACTCCCAATATCAAACACAATGGCAAAAGTTTAAGGAAATACCTTGTAGTGGTAACTGAAAATAATATTCACAGCTAAGATTTATTTAACACTACTGTGTGTGAGGGTCGCCTGGGTGGCTCAGTCGTTACGCATCTGCCTTCGGCTTGGGTCCTGATCCCGGGGTCCTGGGATCGAGCCCCATATCGGGCTCCCTGCTCCGCGGGAAGCCTGCTTCTTCCTCTCTCACGCCCCCTGCTTGTACTTCCTCTCTCGCTATCTCTCTCTGTCAAATAAATAAATAAAAATCTTTAAAAAAAAAAAAAACAAACAAAAAACACTACTGTGTGTGAGGCACAGGGATCATGACGACTTGATTTTTATTATTTCTCCTAATCCTCATCATAACTATGTTAAGTAAAGATGTATATTGCTAACCCCGTTATTCAGATAATGAAAAAGATGCAGTTTAGAAACATTAAGTCATTTGTCCACTTGTCAAACAAGAGATATCCAAACCCAGATCCACCACACCTTGAGCCCAAAGTCTGTTTCTATGACACACTGAACCTCCCATCGTTGCAGGTAATCAAGGAACAGCTGAGAGATCTCTTAACAGGGATGCTGTATCGGAAACTGGAGTGGGGAGAAGGATGTCAGGGAAGGTACAATCTAACCTTGGATCCATGACAGATGAAAACAGATTGCCTACTCTATGTTGGGTCTATACTACGTGCTTACAGGACAGGAGGTTTAGGAGACCCTGTGAAGGAAGTGAGCACACAGAGCCACTCCATTTTCCTGCTCACAACAAAAGGCAACTGAAAAGTAAGGCCGCAGAGTCCAGACTCCGGTTACGGTGAGCCCAGTGGCACATGGCGAGCACGTTTCCTTCTCCCTCCCCAGAACACACCTGCAAGGCTGCAAGCCTAGCTACTGCAGCACAAGGAAAGAGTTCTGGCCCTTCTCTTTCTAAATTCCCTGCACCTGAACTTTTTGCCAACACAAAGCTGGTATTTACAGTAAATAAACGATTCAAATTTGTATTAGAAAATATCAAGAACACAACCAGAAAAGGGGATGAATGGACAAGTCACACAGGAGAATAAGCATGTGACTGCCTCGCTTGGGGAGGAGAGGGAAAGAAGGACAAATTCCAGCGAGCTGAAGGTATGACTTTAAATCTCCTCATCAGCAAAGCTGTAAAGCCGGTAGAAAGATCTGCAGTGAATAGGATACAGGGAATATACTAGCACAGTAATGGATGAAGATCCAAATGGCTATACTTATCAAGAGCCTCAAAGGCTTAAATCCTTGGACTCAGTAATCCTCACCCTAGAAATCTACTGAAAAGAGAATTCCATGAAGAAAAACATCAGGATCACAAAGATACACCTTATAGAATTACCCCTAATACTATGAACAGTGGAATGACTAAGAAAATCACAGTATGTGAATGCAAAGGAAAACTGTCTCCACTTATAAGAAAAAATGCAGAAAAACAGACTGAAACATTAGGGAAAGCTTCTCAAAGATTCCTGATTTTAAAAAGCTAAATACAAAATTGTGTGTTTATATATATATTATAAAATATACATTTGTATATATATGTGTAAGTATATACGAAATTGTATGCATAGATGTATTCATATAGATTATTAAAATATATTTATATGTATTATGTATACATGAAATTGTATATGTGTATATTTATAATTGCTGGAGTTTTATGCCCATATCTATAGAAATAAAGTAACTGAAATTTTTTAAAAAGTTATTCTCTTAGGAGGGTGACGTTACAGGTTTTTGTCTTACACTTTTTTCATGTTCTATGTCTGTAATTTTTAAGAAAGGACTCCAATTTTTTTTTAAGAAAATTTAAATAATCAGCTACAACTTGAGACATTCGAGCATGTGAATGCAAAAAGAAAACTTAGAGGTCACACATATGTGGATACTTGAATGCTCTCTATCGCCAGGACCCACCAGAGGCCAATCTCCAACTTTCTAGGTCTAGTCACAAGCTTCAAATACAGACACACAGATGATTGCCTGGTTCAGGGAGACCTGAGGACTTGATGCTCCCCCTACCATTATAGCAACAATCACAATAGCTAACACTTAACAGAGTGTGGCTTCTGGACCTGGCCCCACCAAAAGCACCTTATATGTCGATTCATTTACTCCTCATAACAATCCTATGCGGAAAGTACTATCATGACTCCCATTTTGAAATAAGGAAACCGAGATACAGAAAGAGAAAATAAATTGCCCGACCTCACTCAGATAGATGGCAAAGCCAAGATCTGAACAGAGACTGACTCTGGAGTCTAAACTGATAACTACCAACCTAGACTGCCTGTATGTAGGCAAGTCTCCCATCCACTGCTCTGCTGGTACATCTTATCCAAAATGTCTTTCCTCCCCTTAGCCACCTACAAAGCACCCACACATATTTCAGAGGCCAATTCACTTGCCACCTCTTCAGCAAAGCCTTCCGCGAAGCTCCCATGCAGCATTAATAGGCACAGGGTTTCAGTTTTCCATGAAAAGTTACAGAGATGGGGCTCCTGGGTGGCTCAGTTGGTTAAGCGACTGCCTTTGGCTCAGGTCATGATCCTGGAGTCCTGGGATCGAGTCCCACATCAGGCTCCCTGCTCAGCGGGGAGTCTGCTTCTCCCTCTGACCCTCCCCCCTCTCATGCTCTCTCTCTCTTTCTCATTCTCTCTCAAATAAATAAATAAATAAAATCTTTTAAAAA